AACTAGAAATTACTCCAAGAAGTGTAGATTAATTTGGTTTCAAATCTTAATGATGTGTCGAAAATGAGGAAAAAAACCATTTATCGCTGTATTCAAAAAGCAATTTGTAAGTGTTGTGCTATTGTTTCCCCTTTATCCATTCAAAACTAATTAATCTTTCGATTAATATTCATTTTAATGAGAAAAGTAGTAATATGATATTCTCTTACAAGACAGGTCAAAAAGTTAAGTCTTGATTTACGCGAGAACAAATGAATCTGATGGATGCAAGGATTACATCATACTGCTGAAATGTTGAAAATGAGAAGCAGTAAATTTGATAATTTTAACTTTCTCATTAAAGTTTAACTGCCTGCAATTATGGGACGAGTTTAAAATTTAAATTTCAAGGAAAAGAAGACGGTTTTTGCTTTACTTTCACTTTTCTTAATTTTTTAAAAACGAAAAAACTATTATGTGTTCAATACAAACTTTTTCGTACAAAATATTTGTTATCAGTGGAGGAATTTAGCTGATGAGGAGCAGAGACGAAATTGTCAACCTGTCCTTTTCACTTCGTTTTATCACTATTTCCTGACACATTACTAAAGATAAGAAAGGAAGCGACACTATCTGAAGTACATATGGTTATAATTAACTTTATTTATGCTTAGTAAAAAATACATCAATTTGCCAGGCAAATAAATAGAAAATGGAAATAATATGAGAATAATAGTAAGTGGAGAAAAACAATGAGTGTGAAGAGGATGTGATGAACTACTACTGCGCTTGCGTTGCTATTATTATGCTTCCGTAATAGAAGGACAACTTCTCTCGTATTTCTGTTAAAAAGAAGGTGAACTAAATGTGGAATGAAGAAAAATGACCAAGAAAGGACTGTGGATGACTCACATTTGCATGAAAGATAAATGACAGTTAGATCATACGAGAGAGAGGGAGAGAGGGAGAGAGAGAGAGACGACAGAGAGGAAAAAAGAGAAAGAAGAGATTTGATTTATTTAAAAAAGAATAATGAGAAGAATAGAATCGATTGTACGTGGGTATTATTATGAAAGGAAGAGATTTGAGTTAGCGGTTTTTAGCTTTGTTTCATTAACGATGCAATTGGGATGGAAGCAATAGAGGGTAGCAGTGATAGAAAGGAACGCTGCATATCATTTAATATTGCAGGAAGGATGAATACATAGATAGAGGAAGAAAGAGGGAGTGAGGGATAAAGAGAGAGACAGTTGGAGAAATTATTGAATGGATATTGAGAAGTAGATGGAAACTCTGTGAGAGTGATCTAAAGGTTGTCAATCAAAAATGAAAAAAATGGAAACTAAAAGTAAATCCTCCCTCTGGATTGGATAAGTTGAAAGATATCTGGAGACTAAGCAGAAATGCTACAAGTAAGATTTTAAAGGAGAATCATAATAGTATTCCTGTTTGGAACTGAATGACATACATTTTAATCTCATCAAATGTATCATCGATACAGTGAGATGGTAAAGATAATACAGACAAAACTGTTCCAGTATTTGATTCGATAGTTCATTGATCAGCAGCCTCTCAAATCACTACAGCTATTTCTCCCTCTCTCTTTCTCTCTCTCCCTCCCTCTCAATAAACCGATTAATAAATGATCTATCGATAAGAAACAAAATGATTGGATGGATCAGATGAGATGATCAATAGATTACTTCTTGGGTACAACAAGATGAATAAACAATACTGAAGAGGATGCGATCGTGCTATCGCTATATCGAAGCCATGTCATAATTTTTACTAAATGCCTTAGTGAAAGTCGTTTGTAGCCCGGTCATATTCTTCGGGAGAAGTGTATTTCATTCGAAATGAAAATCAAATACAATTTCATTTCCGTGAAATACGTGAGTAAGATGTATTGATGAGATGTTTGAAAATTTAATAAGTAACAGAATACGGACAAGGAAAACAATTTCAGGGAAAATTGAAAGAATTTGCATACGTGTATTTAAGCTAATACCAAAATTATTAACTATTTGAAAACTTTTGAAGCTTCTCTTCATATAATAGATCATAATTTCTGCCATTAATATAATTTCCAATTCTAAAAACATTTGCAAATTACAAAATAAAAAGTTACATGAGCTTGGAAAAAAAGAGGAGAGTTCAAAGAACAGCGGAGGGTAGAAGTTTGGAAGAAGGCGCTGATGGAACGAGTAGCTATTTCGAGTGGAAGTGATTCTGGTAAGCTAGTGCTCAGCCAGCCAAGCAAACGAAGAGCAATAAGCAAGCGCGGAGGGAGAAGGATATGTTGTTGCTATATGCAGATCTTGACATTTTCTCCGACTCTTCACATCAAGGAGCTTATTACGCTTCGATCGAACACCCCAAAGGCATTTTAGAGAATTGAACTTTAAAATAGCCATTTTAAAATGGAATATTTTCGATTTTTACAAGTATTTGAATTAGTGTAGCAGGTGTTGGCGAAATTGAAAAAATGTTATGAATTGTTTTAATTAAAATTCAGAATATTTCTTAGGTAAATGATTCGAAAACATAAAATTAATAAAATAAATATTTCGATACTTAAAGTGATGAATCGTTTATCCAAATCTAACTTTCCAAATTTTTTAACCAATTTTAAATGCAATGTTTAGATGTCACAGATAAAGTCCTTTTTATTAATTTCTTCCATTCTGTTAATCAAACTTACATGCAATTGTCGGAATATTGTAAAGAACTTATGTGCAAATGTCGAAATTTTGTAAAGAACATCTAATCTGGTAGCTAAGCCAATGTATCGGAGTCACCCAGTTCGACAGCTCCCGCAGTCACTCAATTTTTAATATCTCACTGAGTTACTTAATTGGACAGCTCGTGTAAGCACTTAAGGAGACAGCATAGTCAGGTACCCAACCATGACAACGATTCAGCGGCAGAGAAGCGGCAACAGCACGAGCCAAAAGACCATTTGGTATCCTTTCATACTTATTGTGTATTGTTCATTTCATTCCTATTATTCTTTCAGTACGATATTTGTACCATATCGTATAAGACCAATAAAGGTTAATATCAACGCTGCGGAGTCAAAACAACAAAAATAAAGTTACAAAATCT